CCGTAAGTAAAGATTATTCATAGGCTCTAGAGGCCTTTATTTTACTGGATTTTATTATATTTTGAAAGTAGGCAGACAGGATATGGGATTAGAGAAAGAGAAAAGTAAACCAGTGGTTGGTGTTTGGCTCCTCTGGTGTTTTGCTGCTATGATGCCTTATTGGAGCTCCCATGTTGTGTTTAGACAGGTTTTTGGCTGATAGACGGTTGGGACAGTCCTGTTTTGGGAGTCAGCCGGGAATTTTGTGCTTTTTGGTCCTTTTTGGTCAAAGGATCATTCTGTACACTTTTTGGATATTTCATACAGGTCAAATAATGACGACTCCTCATAGGAGTAAAAAATTTACTATAAATTTACTCAGTGGACCCTTAAAGTGTGGAACTAGATTTTAATGAAGAAGTGAAAAATAAAATGGAGATTCTGTTCAAAATACAGAGAAACAGCACTACAGCTTCAAAGGGGATGAAGATGGGAGTAGAAGAATGTTGGTGATAAGTAGGTCTAGATGAAGTCCACTATGGCAGGAAGTTTTTCCACTTATTAAAAGCACTCGTCTCTCTGTTGTTCCATTTGTAGATAACTAAAATAAGATTCCTGATATAAAAAATCCCATTCCTAGACTGAACTGTTTAAACAATTACATTTTTTGCAACAGAAACTGAATTTCAGAAAGTTAAATAATATATATATATATATATATATATACAAGTAAGAAATAAGTTTTCTATACTTAGAAATGTTTACATATTTTAAGTGGCCGTTCTGACATCAATCAGCTTGACTAAGTATATATTTATGATATCTGAAATACATTTCTTCATAGTCAAAATATAAGAATATGAGAATAGAATTAGGAAATATAAGAATAGAAATGAAATCTGAGATTCATCAGAATGTTTATTCTAGATGTGAAGAATGTCATAATTTTTTTAATGGTCATTTTGAGAACAATTTTTTTTTTTAAATATCAGGAATACATATACGTAAAAATAGTACATATCAAAATGGCTTACCATAGCCTGTTATGACCACAATAACATGACAAATGTATTTCTTGAATGATGGTGGATCAATGTATCTATTTAGGTGAAATATCTGGCAGTAGGTGAAGATATAGAATAAAAACGGTCTAATAGATGGAACCTGTTCATCATCTCACTGGGTTCCTCTTTAGTTTGATTCTGTCTTCTTTTACACAGTAAATACTGAGTGGCTGTTTGCAGCTGTTTCGATTGTTATCATCTAAATAAATCCTCATTATTAGTGGTTATCAGCCCCATGGAATGGCTTCCGATTGTGCCAGTAGGCTCAGTAGGTTACCACTGAGTGAATCCTAATCCTAACCCTAAGGTAATTCCTTTTCCACCCATGAAATTAATTACCGGTAATCTATTTATGTGTAATAAAAAAATTATCCGCTTTTTGCTCATTTGAAATAAACCAAAAGCAAATGCATTTCATATCCTGTCGCTGAGTTGAAGAATCTTCTCCTTTTAAACATTCAGTTCTCTTTAAAAATGCTGATCATTCTTTAATAAGATCCTCGTCAATCAAACATGTAATGTTTGTTTTTAAAAGCTAATGTATCTAACGATCTAGTAATTGACATATTTTATGCACAAAACTACGACAAAAATCTGTCTAAATCGGAAATAAAACGTGATTTGCTGTAAGGAGAGTAAAGTTACAAGTGTTTTGGCCAGAGCTCCTATATGATTTTTGAGGGAGAAAATCTAAATCCCTTTTGCTGCACATTAGAGATGCACTTTCACTCCTCCATTTTCCTTTACCGGCTCTGTGGTGGTTGTTTGCTGGTGGCTGTCGGTATATTTTTTGGATGCTATAATATTTAGGTTCAATGATGATGTTTTTACTTTTCGTAAATCTAAATATAGAATAACTTTCTTCTCCAAAAAGCTGTGCTAACCTTTTTTGTCAATTACTACTGTTATTTCTGGCAGTTAAAACGTGCATTAAGACTTTCTCCATGGCCTGTTATTGTATTAATGGCTCTTTTATGGCCACAATGATGGTATACATTCATGCTAAACATACTAAAAACTGTGCTTACTAGTTACTTAATGTGTGCTATTTCTTTATGTTTGCATATCCTACACTTATAATTACATTTTATTTTTTGTTGATTCAGACCTTCTGGGACGAAGGACGTGTCCTTCACTGTCCCAGACACCATCACCACCTGGGAGACAGAGACTTTCTGTTTGTCCTCTCAGGGTTTTGGTTTGGCTCCTCGTCAGAATCTCACCGTCTTCCAGCCTTTCTTCCTGGAGCTCACCCTGCCCTACTCTATAATCCGAGGGGAGAACTTTGAGCTGAAGGCAACCGTCTTTAACTACCTGACCAAGTGCATTATGGTAAGATTGCATCCTTTGTTTTGTACAAGCATTTGCTTCCCTAAAAGTGACGTCTATATCCTAAAGCATTTTCAGGGTATTTCAAAGAAGTTAAAACATAAATACCATAGTGTTAGATAGGCAAGTATGAGGTATGTGATCCTTTAAGTTATCTTCTGACAGCAACATAGGTTCATGGACCCCCCCACCCCCAC